ACATTGTCATGAATTCGTTGTATTCCCATTTGTAAAATAGCCAACAAATTAATTGTTGTAGGCTAACCCGATCTCATGAAAGTGCGTATAGCACGATTTTCTGCTTCTATTTGGCGTAATATTTCTATGCAGAAATTGACTTTGGCATGCAAAAGACTGATAAATTCATAATTAACGGCATGGGTTCAGTCGACAGAAATACGGGATACACAGGCCTATAATAACTGCTGAAATGTTTGCGGGGCAAATCTCGGATCAGTCTGAGCTCTCATGGTACTCACAGTGCGTACAGCCCTACACCTGCAGGCACCACTGACTCGGACGGTTGCTGTGGTAATAAACACCGTAAACCGCAAACGTTCGCGTGTCCGCGCTTAATGCGCATATCCTATATGAAAAGCATTTTAGGGGGCCCTTGGCTTTTGGGGGCCCAAGGCGGTCGCCTACCTTTGCCTAATGGGTAAGTCCGCCCCTGCACACACACACACACACACACACAGACATGTACAAAGGCACACCGACATGTATGTGCGTACGCATATTATGTATACATAAGTTGATATATACACATCCCGGCATGTAAAAAGTGTGCTCATATCTGCGCTCACACACATATCTGAAGTAGAACATGTACAGACACCACACACACACACCCATACCCTTACGAAAAAGAAGTTTATTCAAGTGTGCTATTAGTATACTTCTTTTAAACTAAAAATAGGAAAATTCATACACCTTGACCTGCACAGTTTATGGAGTCCGTCAAGTATGAAATGTTCAAAGCAGACCCCTATATGGTTCAAGTTACCAACAAACTCTCTGACCTGGTGACACCAGGTTCTGGCATCTCCACAAGAACATAAACCTAAAATATCCCAGATGATTACAATTTCAGTTCGTATACAAACAAAATAGATAGATAGATAGATAGATAGATAGATAGATAGATAGATAGATATTACTGACAAAGGACATTTTTGTCTTTAACTACCATTAAAATACACTTCGTCATGTGATATTAGATTTCACCACTAGGTGAAGACAGAAGGGTTGGAATTGTGGCCAAGAATTCCATTCTGCTTTGAGTTAAATCGCTTTGACATTTTAAAAATAGAAGAAAATCTGTTCTTTCACACTGCAATGGCTCCTCAAAAGGACATCCCTTAGTTAGATATCCACCAGGAGCGTTTCTAGCCTTTCATCTGTACTGGGGAATAGGCCCCCAATCAACAAAGTTTCCCATATTTTAATACTTTTTTTGATAATGTTATGGATAAATGGATATAAACTGTCTTCACAAGCTGCACGTACAATTAAGAGCTACTTTATTGTTGACAAACGATAGAAGACATTTGCAAGTTTTGCTACCTACAATGGATTGTAGGAAAATATCCACCTCATTCTGTGCTCTTTTTGCTTTATGACTTATAAAGTATTTCGTTATGATGTGAGAAACAGCTGCAGACAATTCTATGCATGAGTGAACTGTCTAAATGAATTCATCTGAATCAATGAACGATTTAAACTATTTCAGACTTTTTTGCAATACCGTTTGACCAATTACATCAATAGTTATTCTTTCACAAATCCAGCATCACTAGTTCTGATTCTAAACAGACACATGACATGATTGCTAAAACATTATCAGTGAAAATGATCAGACAAGGATTTATCAATAATAGTTTACTTGGGCACAGTGGTATTACTGTTCCCATGTCCCAGTAAAATGGGTCTAGCGATGGCCCTGGTGTCCATAATGCTTCTGAACTAACTTGCTTTGAGGCCTGTTCTGAGGATATTAAAACTCTCTTGAACAATGTCAGATTCACTATCTGTATTTTTAAAAAGCATCATTGAGCATATGCTAAAGCATGGAACTCTAGCCTCAAGGATATATCTATTTGTGTCACATTATAAAACAAATGTTTCAAGTTTGGAATTGGCCAAAATAATCAGTGCAATCAGGCAAACACAGAGACATATTGGACTGGGGGGTGGTACAAAACTGGCATTTTTTTTGAAGGATTTGAGGGGTTAAGAGGTTGTATGAACAATAGGCTGTGGTTAGATTCACTTATTGAATAGACCTGAGGGTTGTGTGGTCTTGCTCTTGGGGGATGGGCGGCACTATATGTCTACATGCCTGTCCTGATGGCTAGCAAACTCCTCCCTCTATGAATGACAGATGCCACCTTTCACCTTGTGAACTGAGAAACAGAAACTGGGCAGTACCTTAGGAGTAAAACGAAAGAGCTCCAGAATTTTTTACTGAGAATCACAGCAATTCAACAGCTAATCATTTGGAAGAAATGTGCAAACATTTTAACTCCCTGTTGGAACTGGTGCACAATAATGCCCTTTGGGAAATGTAGGAACATGATGTGTTTTGTTGTAAGGTCACCACATGTACTCTTCTGTCCCTGCTGTATCTGTACCTCTATGACAGGTCCCTCCCTAAACATGTCCTCACCTGTCTGCCTCCTGCTATTGACTACTCTGACAGCTGGACAATGAATTGGTCACATAGTGATGCCATGTCTTTGTATTTGCGGCAATGTATCCAATCAGGTCCAAAAATACAGGCATGCAAAGCATGTCAGATTGACCAGGATCACTCTGTGGCGTGATGGCTAACAAGACAAAAATTGTGCTCAATGAATGGGTTCATATGGAAATTGTACAGATGAGAATCATTTTTCCTTATCATTTCACATCAAGTTTGTGATGAGTAAATAACTGGCATTTAATCTGTCAATAATGTCACATGTAATGTGCAAATAGAAATAGAGTGTCAGTAATCAGATTGCAACCCATTCACTTATACCAGTAACATTTGTGCAACAAATTATGAGCATGAGAACGACTACATGTGTATTAATTAAATAAAAAATACTGATAATAAATACATAAGTAAAAAAAAAAAGCAGACACAACAACAACAACAAAAATGTATAAAATAAAATAAAAATAGATAGCCTATAAAGTTAGAAATTTCACAGTTATTACTGAATGATAAATAAAGTGGCTGTTTTATATTCAACATTGATAATACGTTTTAAAAGAACATCCTACATGTTTCTACATGCAGTTGGGACTATTAAAATGTGATGTGCATATCTCTGCACTTGCACTCAATAGATATAACGGATTGTATCTTAACGATTGTACATGAATATACCATATGGATATCCCAAGTCACAGAAGTTTCGCACTTGTTCTTACCGATCTCAAGGAAACCAATACTTTCATGCTATAAAGTAACCTGTGTTTATAGGCTAAACTTTAGCTAAAGCGTGTGTGATTGATCTAAAGCAATGGCAACGGTTGTTTCAATTTAAGATATAGGCCTAACTAAAACAAGTAACAAGCAATTTTCACTTACCGCAGACTCCGATTTGCGCACCTCAGTACTTATAGTGAAGAACACCAGTAACACAGCGCCGAGACTCTTTAAGTTCATGCTGATTTTCAAAGAATCTGCCCTCTTAACATTGACAGTTACAACTATGAACACGTATTGAACCTTTCATATTCCTCCGTTAAGCTAACTGCAAAACCAGCACGTTTCCCCCCCCCAAAAGCTACAGAAGGATTCTTGTAAAGTCTCAAGGCTGTCCAGTGCTGGCAGCGCTCGCAATAATGTACCGTCACTTTACTGAATCCCCTTTACTTGCTCATCGCCCTATTTCATATCCCTCCGCCAAAAATCATTCTAGATCCATACACACTTTAAGCTGTAATTTTATGGGAGGATGAAAAGTTAAATTTAAATGTCTCTGATGCTTTTTTGTTGGATAACCCATTAATATAAACTATTTTACTCGCTGTTTTTTTCTTTTAATATTATTAGGGGATTTGTTATCGATGTCGTGGCGGAGGACGCATCACAGACAAACATTGAAAAAAAAAAA